AGGAGCAAGGACGACCACGGCGACAACGACGACGGAAACGACCACGACGCCAAAGAGGACGACGACGACGAACACGAGGTCCGTGTTGCGAACCCTTGTGTTATTTTAGGGTTTTTGGACACACGATGTTGAAACCCTTCCGAAGCCGATGGGTTTTGAAGGATTTCGGCATACGCGCGCGACGACGCGCGCGTCTACACTTCGTCCAAGTTTTTTTGCAGAGGATTCTCGCGACGGCACACGCGCAAGGGCGTTCGACAGATTTCGACATGCGCGCGCGCAGCCCGTTTGGTAGCATTTTGCGAAAAACTGGGAAAACCTAACGGTTTTGTCAAGATTTCGCAAGAGCTCGCGCGTAAGCTTTTTTAGCACATCAGTCTTGCGAAACCCTGTGTGTTTGGCATGCTTTTTGGAAACTCGATTGCGAATCTTTCCGACACCGAAGGTTTTTTGGAGGATTTCGGCATGCGCGCGCGACGACGCGCGCGACGACGCGCGCGTGTGCACTTCGTCCCGTTTTTTGCAAGGGATTCGTGAACAAGTGTTATGTTAGAACAAAAGATGTCCCCGCGTATTGTTTTTTACAAGGGAACCTCAGGGGGGTCGATCCCAGCCCCTCCGGGACAGTGTAAATTCGTATTTCGGATGGACATATGGTTCTAATCCTACATGGTACACATACCCGAAAGGGGGGCGGATAACGCCGGAGGGGGGTAGAGTCTATTCTGGTTTTAGAAAGGAGAATCTACGTGGCGCAGTGTGTATGGTGCAGACTGCGTGATGCAATCTGTGAGGCCCAGTAGCAGCGGCGACGCACAGCGGCGACATGTTGGCGACGGGCGGCCGCAAGCGCGGCGACCAGGCAAGCAGTTCCAGCAGCAGCGGCGACGGACGGCGGCGACGCACGGCGGCGACGGGCGGACCCAAGCGCGGCGACGAGGCAAACGGGCCCAGCTCCCCAGAAGAGAAGCAAGAGCCCCCAAGTGCACGCACTGCTTTGGGAAGATGGCATGCTCCAGTTCCTTGCCCATTCTCGTTTGCGTGTTGGCACGGCTGGCATAAATCCAGCCCCCTCCTCTCTCCGGTCTTCTCTTCCCTATGCCGTCCCCCTCTCCTCATCCTCGATCCTCCCAGCTTCCTCCTCGGCCTGCCACTTTCTCCTTGGGGCGAGCTCTACAAGATGACGGGGCGGGGGGGGGCAGCTATATTTCTTCGAATCGGATTGGTCGTGTGGCCTGGGACGTCCCAGTCATCACTACTGGGTGGGCCCGCCGTGCCTGCAGATTTCGGACCCCCTGGGCAATCAGAGCCTTCCCCTTGAGTTCTTTCCAGTTAGATCCCAAGAGGTAGCACTGAGTATGCTCGATGATGTCAAGAAGGTGATCGAGCCGTACCAGAAGAAGTACGGTCATTACCTGCAGAAGATGCGGCCATGGGGCGAGTTCTTCAGGATCTCGAAGCCAGAGGGGGACATCAAGCGGCGCCTAGATATTAATCTCAGCCACTACCAGATTAATTACGCCTTGCTGTTCCTGGGCCAGATGATCATTGCTATCGTGACGAATCCGCACTGCCTGGTCGTGATTGGCATTCTTGCGGTCATTTGGATGGCCTTCTTGAAGAAGAATGACGACCCGAATTGGGAAGTTAACGTTGGCGGCATGGCAATCGGGAAGACCCAGCGCTGGATGGCCCTCAGCGCCATTACGGCCGTTGTTCTCCTCTGCTTTGTGAGTCAGGTCTTATTCGAAGCTGCCTTCTTCTGCGCGGTGCTTGTTGGGGCACACGGTGTCCTGCATCCGCCACCAACTGAGGACGATGCCTTCCAGGTGGTCTGACCCTTTTCGCCAATTCACCTGTTGATGGATCCAGGGCGGTTGCAGGGCTCTGCCGGTCCCTCTGTCTCCGAAACGTTTGTCTCCTTCACTACTATGCTCGCCCACATCTGCTATTTTTTCTCCTGCTTCTCATGCCGCTGCTGCTTCATCCTCTCACCTTCTTCATCGTCATTGCTATCACCTTCTTTTCCTGCTCTTCTTTCTCTCCTCTGGTGACTGCTGGTTTTTGTGCATGTCATGTCTGACACCTATCGCAAAGTAGAGGATATGGCTCTGGTCTCAGGCAACTTTGACTATGAGACAACGTCACGGGGTCCATATGCTCTGGCCGTCCTTGCTAAGAAAACTGTCCGACGCCTGTGCATCATAGCATCCCTGGCGAATTATCAGCACCGACCTCAGGCCTTGTCGTGAAGTGCGCCAAGTTGGGAACCGAGTGACGAGCCTGAGGACCTAATATGCTGCAGGACAGGAAGGCCGTGCGCTGGTCACGTATTGAGCGCTGGTTTCGATCTGCCAGCAGCATGAGCACTATCCCGCTGCTGTCGCTGCTGCTCCTCGTCCTCTGCCTCGTCCCCTTTTGGTTCCCCCGCTCGATAGTTGACACTCCAGTTGCTCACTTGCTGGTATTAGGTATGCATGACGCTCTTGCTTGTCCGACT